CATCTCCGTGGGCCAGCGTTGTTTGTGGCCAGTTGGAGGGCACGCTGCCGGGGCGGGCCCCATGGCAGAGAGCCACCGGGGCACCGTGTGCCACAGGGCCAGCGTGCCAGAATGCCCCCAGGCCCACGTGCCGCTGCCTGTTTCTGGCCACGCTGCTTGCGTGATCCTGATTGGGTAATTTTTGAATCCCACTGTTTTTGATTGGATGTTAAAGCTTGTTGTTGATTGGATGTTAGAGCTTGTTGCTGATTGGATGTTAAAGCTTGTAGTTGATTGGATGCTTTTTGAGCCCTACCAAGGGTATAAAAGCAGAAGGAGAACAAGGAACAAGGGCAGAAGCTCAGAAGACAGAAAGAGAGCTGTAACACTAGGTGTGCTGAGCCTGCTGCGGAAGAATAAAGGCTGTTCTCCAACTCTTCGTGTGCTGCTCGGGTCTTTCCTCGGTCAAGAGCCATAAAACTAGCTGTACATGTTGCCACAACAGTAACAAGGGCATCTTTGGGAGTGGCAACAGAGGTGCTATCTGTTCCTATGCTGGTCGTGGAAGGCTGCAGTCATCATAATTTGGGCATTAAAGAAAACGTGACCTGAATTTAAACACACTGGCTGATAAGACCTGGATCAGGATTATTTCAGAGCTACAATTCTCAGGCATGTTCATAAGCTATTTCCTCGGTGATTTCTCTGGTGGTTTGACATAAATTCAGTGCACAAACCTAAATGCTAACAGGTCCCAAACAGATATTCCTGAGCATGGCAGGAGTATGTTCTACAGGATGTAAATCATAGGTAGGATTCTGTTAGTGCCCACCTGTCTGTCTCTGAAAACACCATGAGATTATACCTACTGTGCTGTTTTCCTCTTTTTTTTCTGTTTCAAAGAAAATTCAAGACATTATGTCATTTCATCCCTGCATAATTCCATATGCATTTAAAAAATAAGGACATTTTCTTACACAACTGTATGCCATTATCATCTCTAACAAAAATTATCAACAATTTCTTAATACCATCTAATAGCCAGTCTATATTCAAATTTCCTTGATTGCCATGACTTCTTCACCTCATCATCAGATAAAAAGAGATTCTTCCTGTTTTAAAAAAAATAGCTATAAGTTATTTTTCTGTCACCAGAGGCTGTGATGGCAGAATTTTTTTCTACCTGCTAAAGTGGCAAAAGAGTTTCCTTTATGCAGAAGCACAGATTATTAATCTTGGGTCTCAATTTTAGCCGTTTTACTGCCTCTAATTTATGTATCCTTAGGGGATTCATTCAATTCTCCCCAGTTTCCCACAAGCATCCTAATAAATGGCCTATGGCCTATTAGGCCTTTGGCCTAATAAATGTATAAATTAAGCTATTAGCCTGCTGGACTTATGAAGGCTTTTGCAGTGTGAAAACAGCTCTTCCTGAGTATTTTCCTTGGCCACCTTCTGGGAGGGGAGGCTGAAGACCGCTGCAAGGCTTGGGGGAAGGAGCCACATACCTGAATAATGTTGGCACTGAGCTAGCAGGGACAGGGGGCAGAGGTGGGAGGAGGGGAGCATCATGGAGCAGAATCCACTCCCATATCTTTAATAAAATACATAAAACAAAAATGACACATAAGTGTAAAGAAAGCATAATGGATCATGTTTTCTTACCATCCAGACTGAATCATTATTAACTGTTTGGTTTTGGTCCCAAATTTTAAAATTTTAATGAAATTTGGATTGTGTATAATATCTGGATGTATAATTTGTTCTATCCTCCCACTTTATACTGTATCAGGAATATTTCCGCATGTCATTAAATATGTTTCCAAAACAAGGTCTTTAACAGTTGCATAGTCTCCTAATTTAAGGGTATACCATGGATTTAGATTTCTTATATTTTATTACCATTATTAAAAAATGCTACCATGAATATCCTTGTACCTAAATCTTGGAATATATCTCTGACTATATCTTTGTGATAAATTCTGAGAAAAAGAATCACTAGGTGGAAGGATCAAAACATGTTCCAAACTGTCCTCAAGAAAGTTTGTTCCAATTTATATGTTAACTAAAAATGTATAAATGACTCATTTCCCCACAACAGTGCCAACATTAGTATTGTTGCTTTTTCCCTTTAATCTTACAATGTGAAGCATGAATATGGCATCATTGCACCCCCACTTCATTCATGTCCCTTGAATCTTTGACTGTTTCATTGCTCCACATCAAAAGAAAGGGTAATGGTTTTGTTCTCTCTCTTTCTAGCTCTTGACTAGCTGCTGGAAGCTTGGTGAAGGAAAAATGTAGAAGCTATTGGACCTGTGCTACAGCTTCAAAAAGCAGCTGGGCTAATGTCAGTGAAATGCTCTGAGTTGTAAATTATTCTCCTAGATTATTTGCAAGGCTGAGCTAGCACACAAAACATCCAGACTGCAAAACTATCAAGAGTTATTGACTGCCAAGAGTGGCACATATTTTCAAACATCTAACATCATAGGGCTAGTATATTCATTATGTATTTTTACCTATTCTTCCACAACCTGATTTACTACATGAGGTTTTGGATTTGCTGCCTAATTTCGATCAACCTTGTATACTTTCTCCTGTAGACACAAGAATTAAATAGTATCACTCTTCACTTGGTTTATGCACCTTGTGTAGCTGTATACATGTAAAATTGTGACTATTTTTCTTGGGACAGAGTCCAACGCTTTCATGTTCTTGAAGGAGCCCATGAAAAGATTAAGAATCTTTGGTATGGAGAAAATTCTAAGAGATTATAAATGAAATTTCTGCAGGGGCCATTCAGGTGACATAAAATAGCAAAGTGGACAAAGTATTAGGCAATAGGGAGTAGTGGGGACTGTCGCATCCTCAAATGCATTTGATCCAACTAAATGGAGTAACTGTGTCTTGGCTCTAAACCACTGTTAATGTATGGAAACATGGGTCTAGTGTCAGATCTTAATTTTTTTTCAGAGAAATCCAGAAATCTGAATATCTACATGAAATTTTCCAAATTTTAAATGCATATGACAATTTAAAGCTAAACAAATAAACATTATATGGGGAAAACAACTGGTTTGCTGCTTTGTCCTTCAAGCTACTAGGCTTAAATGAAACCAGGTATTTCCAAACATAATTAAATATATACATAAAAATTATTAAATGCCTTCTTTAGATTTCTTATAAGCCAAGAACACCAAGACCATTTAAGAACGAAGCTACCAAGGTACTCTAGTCTGACTGGAATTCGGCACTTGGGAAGTTCTACGGCCAAAGTGACAGCTCTTCAAGCAATGCCATTGCTGAGTGCAGCAGATCCTGACAACCACCCTCCCTTCCTCTAGCCCAGGGGTCCTCAAACTTTGTAAACAGGGGCCAGTTCACTGTCCCCCAGACCGTTGGAGGGCCGTTGGAGAGTGCGGCGCACATTCCACGCATGCGCACTGTGGGCCCAGGACGAGTCAGTCGGCTGCTAAGCAGGACAGGCAGCGGCGGCAAAAACACCCAGCAGGCTGGATAAATGTCCTCGGTGGGCCGCATGTGGCCCGCGGGCCGTAGTTTGAGGACGCCTGCTCTAGCCAATGTCTAGTACTCTACAAGGATCAGTCCCAGGCCTTTCAGTGGCAGTGGAGACAAACGTCCTAGAAGAGGAGATGTCAAAATTCCTCATTGCATGTTTACATACAACCTTGGTTTCAAGCTGACAACACTAGTGATTGTCATGCCACATTTTCCCAATTGCCAGAATCAAGGTAAGTACAAGAAACGATCAAATACACAGAGAAACTTACACTCAGACATTTTTGTAAACCAGCTTAATCTCTATCTACATGATGGAGCTTGCTCTTTAAATGAACCCTGCAATATCATGATCAATAAGGGAAAAGACATTTCCAAATTTAACTGTATCACAAGTTCTGATTTAAAAATACCGGGCTTTGAAAATATGGCACATGACCGGATTTAAACCTTTCTCATAGAACCTGGCTGCTGGTCCCCAGGGCAGATTTCCAGGGCAGGTACATAGTAAGTCCTGAGGTCTGGGGAGCGGTGGAAGTAGGCGAGGAGTGAGGGGGAAAGGGTCCCTGCAGACAGCTGCTGAGAAGTTAGGGGCAGGACGGGGCCTGGGCAACAATCCAGTGCACCACTGAGAACTGAGCAAAATTGACAACCACATTTTCCCTGAGGACACTAGCTGATGCTGCCGTGACCAAATATGCCTTTTTTCCTTCTGTGCCCTAGATAGCATGTTATGTATGTTTGAAAATGGCATCTTCCTACCAAGTCATCATATACTGGTCAAATGAAGATTTGAGCTGTGGCAGACAGTACTGTAGACACAGCCTGTGACAGAGCAAAGCTACTTTGAAAATAATGAAATTTCTCCACCTAAGCAAATACTGTGTTTCCCCGAAAATAAGCCCTACCCATAAAATAAGCCCTAGCAGGATTTCTAGCATTTGTGCAATAAAGCCCTACCCCCAAAATAGACCTAGTGATGGGCGTGGCTATGCAGCGCATCTGCACAACCCATGCGACGAGCAGCCCTTCTCATCTGCCCCATGAGAGCTCTATTGCTTGACACGAGAGATTGGAGCCAATGGTTATAAAGGAAATAGAGTCGCAAGAAATTCAGGATGGAATTTGGGGTTTGGAGAGTTATGATGATGCTCCAGAAGAAGGCGACTTAACTATATTTGAATAAATGTGGATTGTTGTACCGTACTTAAAAAAATAACACATTCCCTGAAAATAAGGCCTAGGGTGTCTTGTTGAGGAAAAATAAATATAAGACCCTGTCTTATTTTCGGGGAAACATGATATACACTTTCCAAGTGAGGAGTGTGTGTGGTGTGTGTGTGTGTTCATGTGTGTGTGTGTGTGAGAGAGAGAGAGAGAGAGAGAGAGAGAGAGAGAGATGTATCTAATGCATTTCAATTTTTCGCATAATTAGAAAAGAACAACTTAGGTGAAGCCTCCTTAAGTAATCACAGAGAACATCCATTTTCTCAAGGTACCTGTAATCATGCTGGATATAATTAATGGCAAAATGATGAGTTTCAGCATCCTCATTAGAATTTCTCCAGGAAAAGCAAAGTAGAATTTCTCCAAATTTGACAGCTTGCTGTGTTCTCGAACCAAGACTCCTATGGCAATGCCTAAGAAAATCAAGAGTTGGAAAGAAGAAAAAAGAAAGATTGTTGAGTTCTTCTGCATAAATTTTGATGGGAAAATACCAAAAAATGCAAATGTTAATGTCAAGAAAAACAGTAGATAATCTCCCATGAGTCTATAAAATTAAGACTTTTTATAGTCATATTTTAAAAGACAGTGAGCAGAAAGTACACATTAGTCAGTAAAGCTGTAAAAAAATATTCTTAACATGAAAGCTTTGTTGTCATTTCTTCCCCATCAATTATATTTATTATGACAAAACATCAAAGAATGCTGTGAGAAAAAAAATGCACCACCTCAGTCAACCCAATGTAACTCTTTTGTTATATAATATAACAAAATATAATATAATATAATATAACTCTTTCACATATTACCTTTATTTTTTGTCAACTTGCAGAAATATTTTACATATTTTATAGCTTACATGTCAGTTTTTATTTTTCTCATATTTTTATAATAAGTACTATTTTTATCATAGATTTTTATGATACTCTTCCCTCTTTATGCAACCTTATAATTTTAATAGCAACATAACATTCTGTTGATTTGATATATTCACATTATCAAACAACTATGCTCTTTAATTCTTTGCATTCTTTTCAGTTATTTCTAGATAATGACCTATACAAATATATCTGATGAAGAAGCTTTTTATGAAGTTTCTGATCACAAGTATCTTGTATGAACACGTTTATAATTATGTGACTGTAGAGACACGTTCACTTTTATGAATAAGAAATGCTGTACATGCTCCAAAAGCTTTGCCTTAACAAGATGCCTATATGAAATCCTTCAGTTGTGTGACCTTTTGATAACTGAAAATCACAAATTTTTAATATACACTAGGGAAAAGAATCCCTTTTCAATAAATGGTGCTGGGAAAACTGGATAGCTACATGCAGAAGATTGAAACTGGATCCCCACCTCTCATTTCTTATAAAAATCGATTCTAGATGGATAACAGACTTAAATCTATGGCAGGAAACCCTAAGAATCCTAGAAGAAAATGTAGGGAAGACTCTTTCAGACACTGGCCTTGGCAAAGAATTTATGAAGAAGACCCCCAAAGCAATCACAGCAGATACAAAAATAAATAAATGGGACCTGATCAAATTAAAAAGCTTCTGCACAGGCAAGGAAACTATCATTAGAGCGAATAGACAACCTACAGAATGGGAAAAAATATTTGTTCTCTACACATCTGATAAAGGGCTGATAACAAGAATCTATCTAGAACTCAAAAAAATTAACAAGAAAAAATCAAACAACCCCATCAATAAATAGGCAAAGGACATGAACAGAAACTTTTCAAAAGAAGACAGAACAATGGCCAGCAAACATATAAAAAAAAATGCTCAACATCTCTAATCATTAGGGAAATGCAAATCCAAACCACAATGAGATATCACCTAATCTCAGTGAGGGTGGCCTTTATTAAAAAAATCCCAAAACAACAAATGCTGGCGAGGATGTGGAGAGACAGCAACACTCTTACCCTGCTGATGGGACTGCAAATTAGCGCAACCTCTGTGGAAAAGAATTTGGAGATACCTCAAAGAGCTACAAGTAGACTACCATTTGATCCAGCAATACATATAGGCATCTACCCAAAGAACAAAGTCATCCTATAACAAAGACATCTGCACTTGAATGTTTATGGCAGCACAATTCACTATAGCAGGATGTGGAAACAACCCAAGTGCCCGTCAATCCATGAGTGGATTAATAAAATATTGTATAGGTACACAATGGAATACTACTTAATTATAAAAAACGATGGTGATCTAGCATCTCTTATATTTTCCTGGATAGAGTTTGATCCCATCCTCCGAAGTGAGATATCACAAGAATGGAAGAATAGGCACTACATGTATTGCCATCAAACTGGTACTGACTGATCAACACTAAGGAGCTCACATGGTAGTGATATTTTTGGGGCGTTAGGGGACTTAGAGGTGGGAAACTCACAACTAATGCACGCAGTGAGTGTTGTAGAGGGGAAAGGTACGTCTCAAATCGATGGTTGGGATTGGCAAAGTCATAAATCTAAC